AGGTTTCCGAGGTAGCACGAACCTAGGGTATCCCTTCGAGGAGCGACTTCTGAGCCTCACTTCACAAAGATTGAGACGATCTTTGCTGCTTGAAGTGAGACCTGGGGAAGGTATATCCTAGTTTTAGGAGCCAATTACCAAGGTCGGAGTGTTTGGCAGAGAGCCTCACTCTGAACAATGCCTACGTCGAATCGACAAGCTTGACCCCCGGATGAAGACACGGGGCGCGCCCGCCGACCTGGTCAAAGATCAATATTGACTTCCCCAAAGGAGCGGAGCAGAGCCGGCCTTGATTTTATCTCCGGAGCTGTTCTTTCAACCGAATATACATTGTCTCGTCCTCGGTGTTGCCGGGCGCTGAGATGTTGCAAAGTGGAAATAATTGCATGATAACTGTGGCGCAAGGCGAACCGAAGAACGAAGCCAGGCTGTGCTGTGGACGCCCAGCCGGTGCCCAGCTGGGTATCAAGTGCCGCTGCCCCAGTGCCCAGCGCGCCCAAGAGCCTCTAGTGGGCCTTACAAGGCCGCGACCCCTGTCGAATAGCGTCAGCGTTGTGCGTCTAAGTTGAGGTATACCCCTCCTCATTACGTCGTTTGTTTCGCCCCGCTTGTACGGTTGAAAGCTATGAGGAGAGTCTCGGTTGTTAAGCAGAACAGTCTTATCATTATAGTAAAACTTAACATGAAGCCTAAGCTTCTGAACAGCCTAAGATTAGGTAGTCTAACCATAACTGTCTCTGATGAATCTCGTCAACGGTCCATCACAAGTCAGCAGGGAACGAACGCATGGTTTCTATTGCTGCCTTCCGTGTCCTAGGTATTGATGCCCATCCCAACCCGTACAGTCCCATCCACCCAACCAAGGTCAAACAGGTTCAGTGCTGCCCACTACTAACCTATCAACACTCTATAGGTACTTGTCGACAAGACTTACGGTAACCCACTTCATTAATCTTAGGTAGGTACCTACCTACCTCTATAACCAGGTAGGCACATTACTCCCCCTTGTTGCAGCGTCAAAGGACCCTGTTTTTACTTGGCTGGGTTGTGGCTAGGTTCCTCTTGCCGCTTTCCTTTCACTTATCCCTCCCGCCACATCCTCGTCCTTTTCCTCTTTACATCGACAGAACCTGTTAACTCGGTATTTTAACATCATCGCTCATCATCACTATAAAGTCACTTTCAACCACAAACAGCATCAACCAATACACCACTACATAACGTAGTAGAGACATATACCGCACAAAATCCTCATGTCAAACTACGACCCGTACGATCGGGATTACTCTCGCCGCTATGTACGAGAGGAGCGTCGAGAAGACCCCCGCTATCTCGACCCTCGAGATTCCTTTAACTCAAAGACTCATCGGGAGATCGTTCCTCGCGGTCGCGAGGACAGCGATCTATCGATAGAAGAGGTCAGGCGGGAATTCCCCCCTCCTGGTACCCGTGATATTCGCAGGGCCCGATCAGCCGGCCCAAACTACTACGAGGAAGAATATGAGTATCGCCGAGGCTACGACCCTCGCGATCGCGACTATGACCGCCGTTCCCACCGAGGTCACTCCAGCCCTTACTACGAAGATGAGGAGCGCGACCGCGAGCGCAAGCACAAACCGAAGGGAATGTCCAAGAATGAGAAGATCATTGCTGCCGTCGCTGGTGCCGCCCTTTTGGCGGGTGGTAAGGAACTGTACGATCGCCGCGAAGCCAAGGAGGAGCGCACTGAAGTCCAACGCAATCCTCTGTCAACTGCAGCTCTTGCTGGAGTCGGTGCCTTGGCTGCCTACCAGGGTGCACAATTCTACAACAAGCAGCAGGCCAAGAAGGATCAAAAGGCCAACATGATTCTTCAACGCGGCCGCGACGGTTATTATAGTGATTACTACTCTGATGAGGACGAAAGTCCAAGGGAGAAGAAGGGACACAAGAACTTCCTCGAGAGCGCTATCGCAGCCACAGGTCTCGGCGCTGCTGTCAAGAGTCTCACTGGCGGCGGCGGAGACGATACCAGGAGTCGCCGGGGAGGTAGTCCCTCCAGCGAAAGATCTCGTTCTCACGCTGGTGGTGGCAGCGGCGCCAACAAGATTCAAAAGGCAGCTATGGCTTCTCTCCTTGCCGGTGCCACAGAGGCCTTTCGTGTTGCCAAGGAGCCTGGCGGCTGGAAGGGCGAAAAGACGAAGCGCATTCTCACCGCCGCTGCAGGTGCTGCTGCTGTCGACACCGCAACTGATGACAAGGGAGGAAAGTTGGGCTTGGCCGAGTCCGTGATTGGTGGCTTAGTCGGTAACCGCCTAATTCGTGGTTCGAGAAATGATATTGAGGAGGATCGCAAGACTGGCCGCAGCCGCTCTCGCTCGCGAGCCCGCTCCAAGTCTCAGGGTGGTGGCAGTGGAGGCGCAAGCGGTCTTGCCGCTCTTGCGACCGCTGGCCTGGGTGCCCTGGGTGCAAAGAAGGTTCTTGATCGATCTCGATCGCGATCCAGGAGCCGTAGGGGACGAAGTGCCTCATACAGTCCATCCCCAGACAGGCGCCGTCAGCGAAGCCGCAGCCGTAGTGTTGTTGACAAAGCTCGCAACGGTTTGGCCAAACTAGGCCTTGGAGCTGGCGCTGGAGCTGGCGCTGCCGCCGCTGATGACTACCACCGGCGCGACCAAGATGACTTTAGCGACCGCGGTGGCAGCCGTTCCCGCCGATACTCGGACGATATGTACGATGACCGTCGATATGGCAGCAATCGAGATTATTACGATGATGATAGGTCATACAAGAATAAGCCCCGAGAGAGAAGGCGAGGAGGGCGTTCCGATTATTCCTCTTCGTCATCAGACCTAGGGGATTCTGATGAGGATGAGAAGCGGGCGAAGAAAATGAGAGGTAAGCAACTTATCACCACAGGTTTAGCAGCAGTGGCCACTATACACGCAGCGCACGAGGTGTATTCTAGCATGGAAAAGAGAAACGCACGGCATAAAGCAGTCAAGGAAGGACGGTTGAGTGAGATGGAAGCCAAAAAGCTCAAGACCAAAGCAATCATGCAAGACGCCGCATCAGTCGGTATTGCTGCTATGGGCATCAAGGGAGCCATCTCAGAGATGAAGGAAGCCAAAGAATTGACACACGAGTGCAAAAATTTCCAACAAGAGAAGGCTCGCCGTCATGAGAAGCGAGTGCAGAGGCGCTTGCGACAACAGTCAATGGGTGACGGTAGAAGAAGGGCAGACAGTTGGGCTCCTTCGTCTCGACGGGATGGGTATGACTCGGATATCGAGTATGAATACTTTGACCCTCAAGACTACGGAGGCAAACCTTACAGAGGCAACACCTTCCCAGCAGAGCCGTATGGTACAAACACTTACAGGAGGAACCCCAACGGTCTGCCATCTCCTTTCTAAGAGCCTCACGGGGTATTGGGCGGCATCCACGCTTACTCACCTATCCCCCCAAACACCTTAAATCAGACTTATGACGAGACGACTTATATGGCTCATGAGAAACTTGAGCCAATCAAGCAGGGTTTTTCGTTTGGACACATGGCAATGAAGAACCCCAAGAAAGGAATGGAAAGACTGGAAAGAGAAGGAAACGGTGTGAATATGGCTTGTTGCGCTGCGTGGGTGTGGCTGGCGTTCGTTTTGCTGAAATTCCTCTGCATCAGATAGATGAAGCAGATTTGCTTTCTCCCCGCAACCTCTCCCCACGTTTGTTTCACATGTGTGTTCAAGACGAAGACTAACGACGATGATTAAAATAGACCATCGCCGATACTAAGCCAGTGGCCCGATCCCTGCAGGCACAGAAGCAAAAACGAAACTATATCTCGGCACAACGGCACATACGTGCATATCTGTCCAACAATGAGCTGCTCTCTTCTGGTAAAGTTGATGAATGGGGTAGGGTCTAGTAGAGGACTGAAAACGGGGAAGCAAGCGAGAGTGGCACGAGTTGACCCAACGAGATGGGAAGAGAGGGGCGGTAAGAAAGGATCGAGAAGCAAATGTGGTGTTAACAAATCACTACATGCACGATGATGAAGTGGTGGGAACACGGGTAGGCGGTCTCGGGAAGAACGGCTTTTTGGAAGGACGGGGGGTCTTGCAGATCAAGACTCGGCGATTGGACCAAGTGCGACAAGAAATCAGGAATGGGCTTGGGTGAAGATGGCAAGACGTCTCTAAAGTCAACGGGATATGGGCATACGAAAAGATGTATGTGGATGGCACGATGTGTTTATTTTATTTTCTTCTCCTTTTGCCATGTTGTGAATAGCTTGTTATGCTGGACAGCAGAGGAGGGAGGTTCTTGGGGGTCGATTTACCGGCCCCCAGAATACCTTGACGAATCATGACCTATAATGAACAACTCTGGCCTATAATAAAACCTGTTACGTCTTTGGTGCTGATGAAACGATGTTCGTCTGTGACTAGGTGATGTGAATGACAGCGGCTTCAACAATTAATTAGGTGTGGACAAAAGTCAAAAACGGGTTGTTGTTCTCCCTTGATCTCACTATAGTCTTCCAAAGCACTGCTCCGTACCTGTCGCTCATCGTTTGATATCCTGGACGTACTCCAATAAACCCCACCATGCTTACAGTACACCCTAGTAGTGTGCAGATTCTATCCACGCAGATTCTTGTTTCTAACGGATCTGAGGCTCAGCTCTGTAACGTCATCAAGCCGTGACGTCACTTATCAAGTATCCACTTCACTGACAGCTCGGCCAAACAGCTGACGTCGTTTGATCACGATGTGGTTTCAAGGTATGCAGCCCAAGCCAAGTGGAAGTAGAGGAGACAAGTTAATCGCTTTTACGCAAGGACAAGAGGCTTCTGGCCCCTAACACCATGTAGTCCTGTGTTGTGTGGTGATGCATATTCTCGCGATTGGATACAAGAACTGACGCCACAGTTGATACCGCGATAAATGCTCATTGCTCTCTGTAGGGCACAGCACTGTAGACCAGCTATGGTAGCCGAATGCTCATACTCAGGCTCAATCTCATGCACCAAGACCTCCACCCGCCTGTTGTTTCCAGCTCTGCGCCATGGCCAGGAGATTGGACACGTCGGCAGCCTGCTTGTCATCGGCAGGGAAGACATAGTCGATGTATTCCTCCCACGAGTCGTCGTCGAGCTTTCTTCGGCGCTTCGTCTTGCGTGGCATTTGTTTCTGCACAGCCTCCACGTCCTCCACTGAGCCGTGTGTGCGCTCGAATGATAACCAGGCGTTGAGTAGCGAAACGCACTCTTCCTTGAGATCTCGGTCTCGCATACTCCTGTGTGCTCGCTTGAATACCTTGCGTGCTCGTTCCTTGGCCTCTTCGCTGACTGGCTGTTCCTCATCACCCTCCTCCTCCTCCTCATCTTCGGGAATGTTGATCTCAAAGTGCGCGTAACTAATCCAGACCTTGACGTGGTCCGTCTTTTCAAGTAGGCGCTCGTAGAGATCTCGCGTCCGTTCGTATTCACCTTCTTCCTCCTCGAAATCGATATACGCCTTCCATAGGAGCTCAGGCATGTCAAGCTGTTGCTGCTGGACAGCAAGCTCGAAGATGGCGCGTGTACGGTCCAGATCATCCAGACCACGCTCAAGTTCAGCAAACTTGATCCATGTCTGACAATTTGCTGGGTTATATTCGATGTGCTTCTCATACAGAGTGCGACACCGCACGAACTCGAATAGTTTGCGTTCAAGGTCAACGTAACCGTTGAAGATCTTGTCCTTTGGGCACATGCCAATCGCACGTCCAAGAAGCTTTCGCGCTGCGGTAAGTTCACCCTGTCTGATTTCAAAATGCGCCGCCATGAGCCAGATTTTGGCAAACGTAAACCTCTTATGTGGGATCAGACCCAAGCACGTATTGTAAATCTGCCGTGTCCGTTCAACATCCTGTCCCTCCATCTCTTCCCATATAGCGTAGAAGATCCAGAGATAGATGTATCGCCTCCAGTGCCGCTTCTCCATCGTTGGTGGAACCTGAGCAACAGCCCTCTCGTATATATCTCGAATTCTGTCAGAGTCCTGTGAAGTCTCTTCGAGCTTTGCGTAGTCGAACCAGGCGTCGTAGTTCTTCGGGTTCTCTTTGATAAGCTCCTCGTAATATACTCTCCTCTTGGATAGCACAACATCTTCCACCCCGTCCTTGTCGCCAAATTGTTTCTCGAATGTTGTGTATGCTTTGTGCAAAATCATTGACCTCGATCTTGGTAGTCGGTCCAGGGCATACTTGTATATCGCACGAGCGCGCTCATACTCTTTTAGCTTGGCTTCGAAACGAGCATAGGCGATAAACAATTTCTCATCGACAAAGTCATCTCCCAATGCCTCCACGGCCTCCCCAAAGACTTCCCGCACTTGGTCACTAGTACCGAACTCCTCCTCAAACTTGGCCCACTTGATCCAATTCCGGGGCTCAGGGTGAATCATGGTAAAGGTCCGAAAGATTTCTCTTGCTCGCTCGAATTCGCCGTACCGCTTCTCAAGCTTTATATACGAGCTCCATGCCGCCTCATCTGGCTGCCATTGCATCCATCGATCAAACACTTGCCGCGTTCCGGGAATGTTGCCCAGCATCTCCTCCATGTAGACATATTTGTACCAGAGCTTGTCAACGCGCGGCAAGCGAGCGACGGCACGATCCAGGAGGTTTCGCGCATGGTTGATGTTCCTCGCCTTCATCTCCGACTCGATGTACCGAATCCATAGCTGAACATTGTTGGGATGTGCGTCGAGTGCGCGCTCAAAGACGGACCGGGCGCGGGCAAATTCCTTCTGCTCCAACTCCCACTGAGCATATCGCAACCAGTTGTTGAGGTTGAGTCGATTGCGTCGCACATAGTCCTCGAACTCTTTTCTCTTCCGTCCTTGAAACTCGTGAAGCTCTTCCAAATCAGCAAATCGTTGAGTGGGGGCCTGCACGCCGACTTCTTGACGGTCAACAGCTTCTCTTAAAAGCTGTTCGGCGCTGATTTGAACAGGCGCGGCGGCCTTGTTCTTCACCCTCGGTGGCCCTCTGGACGACTCCATCGTACAATCAACAAGTTTTGAGGGCTCAAGTTGATGATTGTGATTATTTTTGCTGTGACAAGATTTAGATGAAAAGGAGAGTTCAGGTGATGAAATACAGTTGAAAGTCAATAGCGACGCGACAGAGCAAGGCGCAAAAGTGTGTGGGAAGCCAGCCAATTATGATTCGATTTGAAAGAGAGCCCCATTTTATTTGTGTGGCGCTCAGTAGCCTCGCAGCCTAGATGTGAAAGTATTTATACCTAGTCAAGACAAATTACCTACTCCACAACCTAACCCAAGTATTTCGCGACAATCACCTCTGCTCATTCATAGCATCCTTCCTACAAACGACGCCACCATGTCGACTGTCGCAGACGATCTCCTCAACGATTTTGGGAGCTCAGGCGACGAGGCCGAAGAAGAACTCAACGATGGCCTCATCAAGGATGAAGAGGCAACCGGCAACCGTGACGCCATGCAGTTGGACGGCGACGCGGAGACGAGGGACGATGAAGATTCGGATGAGGGAATGAACGACAGAGAAGACTCCGAAGCAACAAAAGTCAAGGTCGAGAAGATGCAGCTTGGAGGAGTAAAGGATGTTAGAAGCGTTGCCAACCTCATGCAAACGCTTGAACCAGTTCTCGAGGTTAGTACTGCCCCCTTCAAACCGAGCCGCATCAACGGTCGCATCTTGATGGACGATTCGTTTACATCTGTTCTTTTGACGGATAGCCCTGACGTATTGCCTCGGACGCTACAGAGAATCGCACATTACCGATCGCAAGCCGCAACGCAGAATACCAACGTCGGAAACATCGAAGATCATCCCGAGTATCATCTTCTGACGCAGTCCAACAGCCTTTCGACCCAGATAGATGGCGAGGTTGTCCTCGTTCATAAGTTCATTCGCGACCACTACTCGACGAGGTTTCCCGAGCTCGAGCGACTTGTCACGACGCCAATCGAATATGCCAAGGTCGTTGCCATCATCGGAAATGGTCCGCTGGATTCGGAGAGTATCAAGGCCCTGCAGACTTCGACTGACAACCCGCTTGGAATAACACTCAAGTCCGTCCTTGATGGGCCGTCACTCATGATAGTGACGGTGGAGGCCACCACATCAAAGGGCAATGAGATGACACCCGACGAGCTTGAGCGCGTCTACAAGGCGTGCGATATGGTTATTGCCCTCAGCAAGGCCAAGCAGACTCTCGCCGAGTACGTGCAGTCGCGCATGAACATTTTTGCGCCAAACCTGACAGCCCTTGTTGGTTCTCTTACGGCCGCCCAACTCCTCAACGCGGCAGGCGGACTGACAGGTCTCTCCAAGACGCCTGCTTGCAACATCGCCTCTTGGGGATCCAAGAAGAAGCACTCGGGGCTTGCTACGAACATAGGTGTTCGGCAGCAGGGCTACCTTTACAACTCGGAGATGATCCGAGGCATTCCCACCGACTTGAAAAAACAAGCCTTGAGAATCGTGTCGGCCAAGCTAGTTCTGGCTGCCCGGGTTGATCGTACACACTCCAGTCCTGATGGATCCACAGGAGAGGAGCTCAAGTCAGCATGTCTTGAGCGTCTTGAGAAACTGACAGAGCCACCTCCCAACAAAGGACAGCGTGCGCTCCCTGTGCCAGACGACAAGCCATCCCGCAAGCGGGGTGGACGACGCGCTCGCAAGGCTAAGGAGGCTCTCGCTATGACTGATCTCCGCAAGCAGCAAAACCGTATGGCATTTGGCAAAGAGGAGAGGGAGGTTGGATACGGCACTGGCGAGTCAACTGTTGGTATGGGAATGATTGGTCAGTCCAACGACGGCCGCATTCGCAGTACGCAGATCGACCAGCGCACACGCGCAAAGCTCAGTGCCAAAAGCAAGGGCTGGGGCGGAAACAGCACCGTGGGTGGTGCTGCGTCGTCTATCGGTGGTTTTGGCCAAGCATCGAACATTGATCTACGAGGGCGCGGCTTGCGAGCCTCGGGAGTTGGCAGCACCATCGGTTCAGCAACCGGCACAGCATCGTCTTTGTCATTCACGCCCGTCCAAGGCCTGGAGCTTGTTGACCCCAAGATGCAGGCAGAGCTCAGCAAGAAGCGCAAGGCCGAGGAGGACCGCTGGTTCAAGGGCGGCAGCTTCACACAAGTCGGAGGGTCGTCAAGTGGAAGCGTTTTCAAGGTGCCGGCGCTCCCAACAGCCAAACGCGTCGATACAGGGTCAACCAAAACGGGTGCCTCAGCATCAAAATAATTATGGCCTCTACATCATTCCTACACCACGTCAACTTGGTACTTTAGGGGTCACTGTGTGGCTGGGTTGTCATGGGAAAGTTCCGTGTTGTCATGGGAAAGCGAGCATTTGCATCATAGTGATCATCGCCGATGGTGATCATGATGATCATGTATTACAACAGCTTGCGGTTCGGGGAACCGGTCCTGTAGCGACCCCGCGCGCAGATATTGCTATGGTGCTACCAACTACGACGGTCGGCGAGGAATAAGTTGAGGAGTGTATGGTAAGAAACGGACGGGGCATTTCATTCGGGCAGGTATTTGGCGAAAACGGCGTTTCAGGAAGAGGATCTATGAATGCCATGAGCGGAGTAGCATGGGAAAATGTGTAATTAGCTCTCTCTATCTCTGGTGGCATCGAATGGGTCTGACTGGTTACGACATGCTGTCCTTGATCCGGAATGTGATTAAACACGAGACCGTAATGTTGAGAAACCAGCATGGATAGAAGCTCGAAACTAAGGCAGAGTCGTTAGACTCAAATTTGCGTACAATACTCCATACGGGCCAGTACTTAGTCTAGGTCTAGTAGTTGACACGGGCACCGGGGGTGTTTAGTCCAAGAACGGGGCTGACCAAGGAAAAATATGAATCACAAATCTCGATCGATCGACAGTGATCAGCAAAGTTCACCATCAACGTGACCTGTCAAACGGGAAACATGGTCGTAGCATATTGGTCCTTTCTCTGACTGAAAGGATTCCACGTCGCATCACGAGAGGCCCTTTGTGCTCTCTTTCGCAGTTACACTAGGGTCATGTTCCTAGATTCCGGGCGTACGTACGTACGTTGACATGGCGCGGCCGTTTTTCGCTGTTCAGGCCAAGGTTAAAACAAGTTCCAGGTTGCCTACCAAGTCGCTGCCACAGCCACAGTTACAGGGTAACAGTGCAGTTTATGCATAGTACGGAGTACTGTATCTTGGTTGTTCTTGTTTCGACAAGGATACGATACCGGCACACCGCCAGAAACATCTGTTTCAGGGTATCGAGATATGAGGAATTTGTCTCAGTGCTCTCCTTACGACCCATTGCTCCCCCAGCTGCTACAATGCCATACATTGGAACAGACGAGCAAAGTCGGCATGGCGCACCCTCAATGTCGGCTTGGTTGATCGAGTGTTCCTTTCCTTGTTTCCAAGCGATGATCATCGATGTGGCATGGTGAATCAAGGAAGGTTGATGTGTATATACAACAGCCTGGGCTTTATCAATATGAAAAGGCGACGCTACCATGCACACCAGGAAGAAAGGCGCGGGGGTTAAGTCAGAGTGGTAGGCTATCTTGTAAAGGAGAGTAAACGCATGCCATGTTGTGGGTTTACGTTAGCCGAGAAGATGCTTAACGAACAGAAACAGTTGCATTGCGCGGTTGGTATTGAGGTTTCGTGCGAGAAGACATTATGATTACATGGCGACATATTATCCTATCGCTTCGTGAGTATCTCATCTATCTATCTGTAGACATTATGGAAAACATACATCATCATTTCACCATGTCAACATCAAAAGCAACACGGAGTGGAGAAAATACCAGGATCAGTCAGTAAACTCTACTATCGTGAACGAGTTTACGGAGTACATAGGTAGCTATAAATCCTTCGACCGACAGATGATAAGAACCACCTGCACCACCGCCAAGTTGCTAAGACAATAAATAAAATAAAATAAAATAAATAAAATAAAAAATACAACATAGCAAAAGCCCCATTATTAAGGAGAATGTAACATTGTGTGGATTGGCGTGTAAGTGGTGGAAACATATCGAAGTTGATGCCATACAAAAGGAAAGGCGGTGATAGCCTGGCACGCACTTGCATGACATGACCCAGAGAAGATTGAAGAATAAAATGATACCCGAGAGATTTCGGCAATACCTTTGAAGGGCCTTGCATTTTTACCTTACTTTACCTCATTAGCCTGCTTTAGATTGGTAGACGACGAAGACCGCCAACGACCAAGCAAATCCCCGTCGCGGCCGGACTCGCTCCCACTGGCTGGTGAGAGTCTGGGACAGCTGCTTGGCTCCGGCTGACTGGTTTGGCGTACGGCTGGTTGCCGCTTGTGCCTGACAATCTACCCCAAAGGAACGAGGGTGTCGTCGACCTGGTTACATCATTGGTCAATGTGGTCCTAGGCGTCCCGAGCAGAAGGGCTTGATGAAGCGAAAGAGGGTATCGGAATCGCATCATGGCTCAGCGGCGCGTCACAGACGAGGTCCCCTAAACCACCAGGTCATCTTAGCAACACTAACCAGGTAGAACTAAGTATTGTTTGCTGATGATGCCTGCTCCGCTCGCCATGTGCTTCACTCCTCACCTAAAGCCCGGGAGACGTGCCTTGCCCAAGGCAGGCAAGATAGATCTTGTCCTTGGGCAATTCCACACATATGTAGAAGATGATGGATGATCGCTGGATTCCCTGAGGTTAGATTGATTCCCCTCGTATGTACTCTACAGTACGGGCCCTCTTCTCCGGTGCCATGTCTTCACGCCCCTCCCCTCGCCTCCCTAACTCCCTGAAAACCCTTGATATTTGGTCTCAAGCCCCTCGGTCGCTGAGGCGGCGGGACCCTCGAGAGCCACGCGGACGGGACCGATGAGGCTGGCCTGCCAGGGCATCCGACCACGCACACTCCACGCAGGGCACCGCCTAAGAATTCAAAAGGGACCGATCCCCCTCCTGACTTCAGATCTCAACTGAGCATCGTTGACCCGATCCCCTTCG